CCACATGAACGGCTGGACCAACGGGGCTTACTCACTGATGCAAGACCAGCTGGGCTACAGCCAGCACCCGGGCATGAGCAGCCCCCAGCTGCAGCAGATGCACCGCTACGACATGACGGGGCTGCAGTACAGCCCCATGATGTCCACGGCCCAGACCTACATGAACGCCGCCTCCACCTACAGCATGTCCCCCGCCGCCTACGGCCAGCAGCCCTCCACGGCCATGAGCCTGGGCTCCGTGGGCTCCGTGGTGAAATCCGAGCCCAGCTCGCCGCCTCCAGCCATCACTTCCCACTCGCAGAGGGCCTGCCTGGGAGACCTGCGGGATATGATCAGCATGTACCTGCCCCCGGGGGGGGACGCCACAGACCCTTCGGCCCTGCAGGGCAGCCGGTTACACAGCGTCCACCAGCACTACCAGAGTGCCGGGACTGGCGTCAACGGTACCGTACCGCTGACTCACATATGAACTTGGCTGCTCCCGACGGCTCCATCCCTACCCCACCACGGCTCCCCGACCACACCGGCACGTACGGCAGTGTTGCTCGGCTTAGCAGACTTGATACTAACTTTGGAGAAATCTTAAAAAGGAAATCCGTTAGTTGTGTCCTTTTTTTTGTTTTGTACAAACAGAAAAGATAACTATTTGCGCAAGCTGTTATTCTAGTAGGTACTCCTGCCTCCTAGAAGCCGCTGCGAAGTTTTGAAACCTCGGCGGCTTCTTTCCTGGGCTCTGCTAGGTTGGGCACATTCGCTTAAAAGTTTTAAAAAAAAATCTTGCATCTTCCAGTTTGATTTTTTTAGCGTTGCAATGACATAAAGAAACCGGCGGGCTGTTGTTTTTAAACTCAGTTGTTCACGTTGTCGTTGTGTTTTGTTCTTGCCACCCTACCGAGCCTCGCTTTGGTTTCTACCCACAGTCTGTAGCTTTCACGACTTTTTAACTTTAGGGTTAAACAAAGTTCCTTAAAGGGGAGGTGGGAGAGAGCTGTGCGGGTCGCAAACGCATTTCTTTTATTTATAGTAAGTTGTGTGTCTTGGTTTTTCTTAAGCTGTAAACTTATGTAAATGGGTTTGTGAATTTTACTGTGAACCATGTTCTGACATATCAGAGATGAAGAAACGTTTTAGTTTTGTTTACCGGATTTCTTCCCACCAGAAAAAGTCATCGAAACACCCCTTGCCTTCCCCCGTCCCTAGTTCTCGTTTGCTTCCTTCTTCCAAACGAAGAGAGATCAATAAATTTTATACCGGGCACGTCGGCAG